TGCGTGCATATGCGTGACAAAGTGTGCCTAGGCGTGACGTACTGTAACAGCGAGACGAGATGTGCCATAAGTGTCAAAACGCCACAAAAATTTTCAAAAAGTTACCTAACCTAACAAAATCCACTTAAGAAACTTAACCTAACCTAACCCAACCTAACCCAACCAAACCTATCCTAAACTCGCCCAACCTGTCGTAACTTATCGAACGTATTGCAAAGTACCAAAAATTAACCGAGCTGTACGTAGCATAAGGTAAGCGTGCCGAAACTTGACTTCGTGACCACGCGTGCCCAAGCGTGACTAAGCGTGACCTGCGGTTATGTCGTGACAAGTTATCACCAAATGTGTCGAAAAGAGACGAAAAATTACAAAGCGCGAACAAACGTGACCGCGCGTGACCAAGCGTGACTAGGCGTGACCTGACATAAAGGCGTGGCTAAAAGTCACAAAAAAATTCGAAACTATTAAATAAACGCGGTTTTGAAACTTTTAGTTGCAGAAGAGCCTAAAAAGGTAATTACAAATCATTATCTATGTTTAAACACGAAACTACGGGTCACGTAGAGGCAGTGACTACAAAGGATAACTTTAGGTAACTGCGCCGTGTAGTGTGGTAGAGGAGGAGCAACTTTTCAGAGGAACTTACTGTCTTCATCATCAGGTAAGATCTGTATTTGTGTAGAGTCGTTAAATAAAATAACAAACAAACTGCAAGCATTCCAAACAAAATTGTCTTACGCTAAACAGTCCAGTTTATGTTCAAAGAGTTGAGAATTTATTACCTTAAAAAACGAAAAATGCAAAACGCAATCCAGGCTAAGTGCACTAATATTCTATAGCAGCGGTCGTAAATATTCGGGCATCGAACCCAGTAATCGGATGTTGCCGCTTGGGTGCATCGACTGTGTGAGTTCCATGAGCCATAAACATATAAAAGTCGAAATTTATTGTGCAATTTTCACGATAGTTCATTTTCAATTTATTGCGGCGAACTTTGGCAACACACGACAAAATTACACAGGGAAATAAAACGCAGAAACGGACCAATTCAGATTAATTTTATCTAATCCAGGAAGCAAGACACGTATCGCCTATCTGCAGACGATCAGATAAGAGAAGACGACTACAGATTTTCGTAAATTTTGAGGCCAGTTACCGCTTTCTGTTGTCATTTGGAAAGATTCAGCGCCTTCCGACCTCAGGTCGAAATGTATCTTTGGAGTTATCCATCTATAATTCAATCCGACGTTCACTTTTTATTACAACAAAGAGTTTTAACGAATGAATATACTCAAATATGGATTCTACAAGCTACTGGAGGAGAAAATTTAAAATAATACATAAGTCTGTAGCAACTTGTACACATAAATTAAATTTATATTTCAACATATAAGTAAAGTAAAGTTTGTCCCACTATACGCCATGTAGGCGTTTGGGGTGAGTGGAGGTATAGCTCCTCTCTTCCTTGACC